TTAATGACGATTATGTCTTTAAATTACTTGTACTAACACATTATGTGTATGTTTTTCGTAGAGGTCTTTCAACAACATTGATGATACTAGAAGAACTTTTTGTCTCCAATTGGCCGGAAAACTAATAAGAGGGTTTAGAACTTTTTTAAATATCAAGTTTCTTAGGGATGCAGATAAATTTTTTATTGATGCAGAGCTTCTATCTAAATATGCAAGTTTGATTTCACCTAAAGAATAGGAAACGTTTAAAGCCAAACGAAAAACCAAAGAATTTCAGAGTGTAAGTGAAAGAAAACATCAAAGAGCATCAAGTCCCGCGTATCCATATAAAAAAGGCGTATTAGATATGGATGCTTAGAACAGTCTATTATAAGTATCTATAAATTGCAATGATATACTTGTTCATCATGAATTATATTTGATCATATTATTTGGCTTAATGTGTAGTTAACAAAGGAGAATAGTTCTGAAACATCTCTTCCGGCACATGTTTTGTGGAAGGAATCTCGTGTGGGTAAGGATGGAGTTGTCAAAGAAGATGTTCAAAAAGTTTTTGAGAAATGTGTAATTATAGAATTATTTATTTAATTAAATCAAAATTTTAGTAACATATAATTAAGACAAATTTTCAATATTCATATGAATTTCAGGAGACTCTATCTCAGTCTATATGTCTAGATGAAGACAATGATTGCAGGAGCATACTTAGTCGAGCATTAGATGTTCGTGAGTATTCTGGTCGGGTGAGGGGTAAGGGATTTGGAATCACTCCAAAATCCTTGAAGATGAAAACACAAAAGACTCTTAGCAATAAAGAACTACAGGAAATCTTGGAAGCACTACAAGCTGAAGTTTGTGAATTGAAAAGGGAAAAATAATTAAGAGAGCAAGCTTCAAGTTTTAAAGCTACTAGTGACAAAGATAGTATCAATTATAATTTTCAACCGAATCTTCCAGAGGTAATTATATATATATATATATATATATATATATATATATATATATATATATATATATATATATATATATATATATATATATATATATGAAATTAAAGTAGCTTAATTTATTTAATTGAAATATATACACAATAACAATTTGAAATTTATTATTGGTTTTAGGGCATTTCATCTTGTCAACTCTACTTATCGTTACTGACTTATTGGATGGTTGGCAAGGGAAAAATGCATAACACTTTGGGAGAATTACTTCACACTAAACAGCTCCCTATTGGTTGTTTGAAAGTATCGGTTGACATTGCTTTGGAGAAGGATGCGTTATTACCACATCCTGATGATGTTTCGAATGCCACACTGGTGGGAGATGCAATAGATTCGTTTGTTGCATGACCGTCAAGCCTCATTAGTGTAAATGATGAGGTATGCTTAAAACCATATATATGAACCTTTGAGTATTCAAAGTTTTTACGCATATTTAACGTACATTTATTTTTACATGGTTATATTAATTAGACTCCAACAAAATCTAAAGCAAAAGACAAGGGGATTCCGCGGCAAACCGAGTCAGTTGCGTCAATAAAAGAGGTACATCATAATTATATGATATTTATGCATGAAAAATGCTAATTTGTGATCTTATACTTCACATAACTAGTTATATGATCTTTAGATTCATGCTAAAGAGAATGAAGATGTCGGTAGGGGTAAGAATTATGAAATTAACAACATTTCCACACAAAAAAAAGGTTGTTGCTAAGAAGACCGGCTAAAAAAAACCTACTTCCAAGTTTAGGTCATGCCTTGGGACATTTTTAGAAATGTCTGATATTCTGGAAGGAAATACTCGTCTTCTACCTATGGAGTTTGGTAATTTTGGTTTTGAATATTCCGAAACAATTGGTATGGAGGATTTTGATCAAGTTCTACAACATACGCAATTAGGCCTCAATGTTGTTAATACATACATAAGGTATATCCGGTCTACTTTGTCTAATTAATTGATCAATTTATTTACTCATTTCAAATGTTAATGAGGTCTTTTATTTAATGTTTTTGTATGAAAAATTGATGCGCCCGAGTGGATTGGAGCAAAGATCGCTTTCTTATCTCCTTATAATACCAACTTAGGGTTAATCATGCATAAACCAGATGAAGTCATGACGTATGTACTCGAGCACTCTATGACCGACAAAGATAACGAAAAGTTGTTCATTTTATCGCTTAATACCGGTAACGGGTTAGATTTTCATTCTAAATTTATCTATTATAATTTTTCATATTTTGACATTGTGTAGAAAGTTTTCATCTCACATTTGTTTAATCTTACAGTGGACATTGGTTGTTGGTCGCGATTAATCCTATCAGAAAAGTTGTTTATTATCTGAAATCTTTACGCAATGATCCAAGTACATACCAAAATATGAAGAATATGGTTGATACGTATGTGAGATTGTTCTAAATATTCATGTGTATATTTATTTATTTATTTAAGTGAGTTGTTTTAAATATGCGTTTATGTTTTATTAGCATTATACAAGTTTTTCGAGCACAAAGAGGTATTCAAGTACCAAAGAGTAAAGCCAACAACATTACATGAATTATAGTGGAGGCATATTAATTAGTTATCATAATTTTGATTATATTAATAGTGATGATACTTGATAAAACTTAGGCCTTATCCATATTTTCTTTTCATGTGTAGTATCCTCGACAGCGTAATGAAGTAGATTGCGATTTTTACATGTTGAAGTTTATGAGAGAAGTCCTTCTTTTGGATCGAATAGAGTTTCCATCTAAGATATAAATTTCTAACTTAGGAGTTATTTTAATATTTAACACATATTTCTCATATAATTAAATAGTTTTAACTTAAACATACTATGTTATATTATTATGTAGTACTTTGATGAATTCAAGTATGCATATTACTCAAGTTCTCAGTTGGATGAACTTAAGGAGGATTGATGTCAATACATTATTGAGACGAAAGTTATATAAGGTATATTGTAATCTTACTTTAATTGATGAGAATTTTGAGTATATTCAAGTGTTACAATTTTGTTGTTGTTTGCCGTGTGGTATATATATATATATATATATATATATATATATATATATATATATATATATATATATATATATATATATATATATTTTGTTTGTGTCATGGTATGAATTACGATATTTTGGTGTTGTTTCAGGTTATATGTGCATATGTAGAAGATAAAGATGAATAGATTTTGTAATGGTATATAATGGTGTTGTTTTTTTGTAAAAGTATATATGTACAAGAGTAATAGTATATATAAGTACATTAGTGCAAATGTATAGTATCTTTTGATATTATTTTTTATTAGATTGAAGCTCCAATATTAGTGAAAATTTGGTGAAATTTGTAATGGTATATACAAGTGCAAAATATGGTGAAAACCTGGTGCAAATATGGTTAAAATTTGTGCATATAAAATTGTATATATCAAACAACGTTTTTTTCTTTTCAAAAAGGTTATATAAAATTTTTTGTGGACATTAGACAGCGCTTTAAAAAAGACTGTCTAAAGCTCCCTTTAGACAACGTTTTTACTGTAAAAGCGCTGCCTAAAGGGACTATTTTTTAAAAATTTTTTTGTTTCAGAAAAAGCGCTGGCTAAAGGGGGCCTTTAGACAACACTTTAACATTAAAAATGCTGCCTAAAGGGTTTTTTTTTTAAAATTTTTTTTTGTTTCAGAAAAAGCGCTAGCTAAAGGGGGCCTTTAGCAACACTTTAAAAGTAAAAATGCTGGCTAAATGGGGCCTTTAGCAGCGCTTTAAAAGTAAAAGTGCTAGCTAAATGGGGTCTTTAGCAGCACTTTCAAAGTAAAAGGATTGCCTAAAGGGGAGATTTAGCAACACTTTTACTTTTAACAAAGCGCTGTCTTTATCTACAACAATGCTGAAATAGACAGCGCTTTAAAGCGCTGTCTAAAGCCAAAAAAAAGTGTTGTTTAAAGTCTTGTTTGGTGTAGTGAATTCATATTTGCAGGCTGAACATGTGGGTTGATGCGAGAGTGTGATACTCTAAAGTACCACTTTAAATATTCATCCACACACTGACTATGGAAAGACATCTCCATTGCATTATATGTGTTTCACATAACTTTTAAATCTTAATATGTCTTTAACTCAAACATAATGAACCTAATCTCGCCTTCATTATCAATCGATGGTGAATGATACTCAATTTTAAACATCCATATGTTGTCGGTGTAATGTAAGAGATTATCTAGTTTGAATTTTACAACATCAAGAGAGGTGTCATATGTGAACCTAAAATTAATAGGACTCACAGTATTGAAATACACGAATGCGAGATACCAAAATTGAGAGATTGTGAGGTGTCTTTATTAACTATATATGAGACATATTTATACAAATTTTAAATCACTATAGATCACACACAAATTTCTGTGCAATAACAACCGTACAAAAATCCCAATAAAATTAAAACCTTTCAAAATTAACCCTATCAAATTTTCAGAGGTATAAAAAAATCTATATATCATATTTGTTAAAAAAAGGATAAACTATTTTTTATATGAACTATCGAATTTTTGTGCCACATAAATTTTTTTGCAACATATAATTAATGGAAAAAAATATGAAAAATATTTTTACCATTATGAAATTACGTGGAGGTGCCAAATATAATTTAGGAGATGTCGACATATAATTAATGGAAAAAAATATGAAAAATATTTTTACCATTATGAAATTACGTGGAGGTGCCAAATATAATTTAGGAGATGTCGGTGTGTTAAATCGGGTTATAATCATAATGGGCTTCCGTTAAAGTTCATAGAGATCCAATATGGACCTAGTAGTAACATTAGCTGCAAACCTATATCCATCTATATTAATAATATTAATTTAATTAATAATTAAAATTATTATACATATATAAAGTCCTCTCGTTTCTTATAACGGCTCTGTAGACTCTTGTTCAGTCCTTATTCAACCCAAACCCTAAACCCTAGCCGTCTTCTTCCCTTTCTCAATCAACAATGGTACCATTTTATTTTCTCTTTATTTCTTTCGTTTAACTCTTAATTCGATTTTCTGTTTACCGATTAACGGTTTTCTGTTTTGGTATATGAAAATGAAAAATTGCAGACAGGTGAAGCAGTTAACCCTAAAGCATACCCTTTGGCTGATGCTCAGCTTACGATTACGATTATGGATCTTGTTCAACAAGCCGCTAACTACAAGCAACTCAAGAAGGGTGCTAATGAAGGTAACCCTAATTTGTAATTATTGTTTTTTTTTTCTTTGGTTGTTGATTTTGTTTGTTTTTGTTGGGTTTCAGCGACTAAGACTCTGAATAGAGGTATTTCTGAGTTTGTTGTTATGGCGGCTGATGCTGAGCCTCTCGAGATTCTTCTCCATCTTCCTCTACTTGCTGAGGATAAGGTATCATATTATGTTGTTATTGTTGTAGCTTACTCATAAACCTAATATTTGCTTAATTTAGTTAGGAGTTTTTTGGTCTTACCAATCTTGTGTATAGGTTATTTTGATCCTGTTCTGATTTCTGTGTATATGCAAAGTAGAGTTTATTAATCTTGTGCAATTATCTGTTTGTAATTTTTAGAATGTTCCCTATGTGTTTGTCACATCGAAACAAGCACTTGGCCGTGCTTGTGGAGTAACCCGACCAGTGATTGCTTGTTCTGTTACAACTAATGAAGGAAGTCAATTGAAATCCCAAATTCAGCAACTCAAGGTATGTCATGTGATTCACATTCTTTGTTTTCGTGTAGATAACTATAATATTCATTGTTCTATGATCCATTAATTAAAAGTTCATTCTGAATATTTGGTATTTGATTGGTATGTAGGATGCTATTGAGAAGTTGCTGATCTGAAAACTTCATATTGCGAATGATGGTATGATGGGCTTCTTGAGTTGTGCTGAAAGCGCCTTTAGAGGCTTTGACTGGACGACTTGTTGTGCTATCCTATATACTCTTTGTTAACCTCTACTTTAATTTTTCTTTCTACTGCAAAAGGTTGTTTTTGTATGGTATTTTGGTTCTAGTATGAGTTATGTTTTGAACTGTTCTTATAAAAATTGTTTAGTGATATTTTGATGAGTAGAATTTTCAGTTTAATATCAAAAATGTGTTTAGTGCAGTTCTCTTGTAATACTACTTTTACTTTGGTTATTATAGATTAGAGAACTATCGCATGAGTGTAAGTGTCTTTGATGAAAATTGCTTTGTGGTTACCCATTTCCCACGTTACATAATTTACGTTTAAAATGAATAATTTGTTGGTAAGCATTGTTCTTTCGTTAGATGAAAATAATTTGCTTTAGAAATGCTCTTTAAATCATTTTGAAGCTTTTCTCTTTCTTTCAATTCTTAGTTTGATATGTAACACTTTATGGCGCTGTGAATAACAAATTGTACCCTTTTAGCTTAAGTTAAATAAAAAAGTTTTTAAAAATAGGGCTATGTTAGAGGAGAGAGTATATTGCTCCTTATAGTTGGCTAATGTATGGATTAACCATAATCATTGTTGTAGATAAAACTTAAGATAATGTTAAGATGGATTAAGCATAATCATTGTTGTAGAAAAAAGTTATAAAGATTATTAAGAAGAAAAAATTTATTTGTTGTATTCTCAACAAAAATATTTTCTCAAACAATGTGTGAAATTTCTCAATACTTTTCACCTTCTACCCTTTTCCAAAGTACTCCACTAAACACTAGACTAACTTTTAGGAGGAAGCTATAAAATGTTTTTAAAAATGGATGAGATGTATTTGTATTGTTATATGCTTATATATTATGCTATTCTCCTAATTTTTTCTTTTAAAATCTCATATATTCTCCTAACCTCTCAATGACTAGTTCTTACCAGTTTTAGACAAATTAAAGATTTTCAAACAATGTCAAATATGTTTAGAATTTTATTGTTTCCTCATTTCTCTAAGATCTTGTTTAGTTTAACTTGATCACATGCATATCTTTGTTGCATATACAATATTATGTTGTTAATCTTGTTAAGCATAGCTACTCTCAACTCTAAATAAAAGAAAAATAGTATCATATAGTTGACCATCAACGTAAAACTTATTTTACTTATTTTAATCTTTCTGATATGAATCAAATATGATAATCAACTTATCTGATATGAATCAAATATGATAATCAACTTAAAATTTATTTATTTTACTTATTTGAATCTTTCTGATATGGATCAAATATGATAATGTTATCGTATTTGTTTCATATGAGAATATAAATCTAGATCTAGTAAAATGTTAAATGAGCAAGGGCTATTTCATCGTTGCTTGGATGTGGTGATAATTTAAGTTTTATGCTTTGGTATATTGACTAAGTTATATCAAGAATTGTGATATTCTTCACTGTTGATAAAGGTCATAATCTTTAAACATGTAGTAAATTAATACACATTTATGTTATCAGTGCTTATACACTTCAGTAAATTAATACACATTTGATTTTATTAGTGCTTACACACTTTTTAAAAATTAAATAAACATCTTAATGTAAAGTTTTGAGAAAATTTAGAAGAAAAATATTTCTAGAGAGGGATTTAAATAGACGTGTGCGAGTATCAAGAGATTTTGATGAGTTGGCATCAAGGGATTTTGGTGAGTTGGCATCAAGAGAGTAAATGTTGAGGGTAGATTCATCATAGATTTTTTTAATTCTATTAGAAACTATGACAAAAAAATTCGTTTGGACTAGAAACACATAGTAGGAGAGAGTTTGACTATCCACCGTAACATATTGACGACAATGGAGTTTGACAAAGATTTTTAAAACGCTATTAGAGGGAGGTTTTTGGGTACACAAAAAAATGAAAATGAAACGTGAAATAAGGTATATGTGATTAAAAGAGTAAAAAAAAAGACATATGGAAAATCAAGAAGTTTTAAACTAATAGGTATATAGTTTTGTTGGTGGAACGTATTGGGGAGAAGTTATTAGGAGCATCGATATATAGTATATGAATATATACCTTTGTGAGAGACACACCACTTATCTAATTAAAATATTAAAGTGATAGGTGAATGAGTTGTCCCATTTATATATGCTTAAGTCTTCACATTTTCATCTAATGTGAGACTATTTCTCCACTTACTCACACTTGTTATGTTATGCTCATCCGCTCTTCCGATCTCTTTCTCGAACCAAAGACTCTGATACCACTGTTAGGGGAGTTACTAGGAGCATCGATATATAGTATATGAATAGACACTTTTGTGAAAGACACGCCATTTATTCACTTAAAATCTTAAAGTAACCTTAAGGTTTTAGGTGAGTGAATTCTCTAACTTATATATGTTTAAGTCTCCATATTCATATCCAATATAAGACTATTTCTCTACTTACTCACACTTGCTATATTATTTCAACAGAACAAAAGTGCATAAATTAAAGTTAAGATAAAAAGGGTGTTTTGAAGATTGATATAAGTATAAAAATGATTGAAAGTTGAAAAAACACAAATAATCTAAAAGAGAAATCAAGAATGAGGTGGGAGAAGTAAAAGTTAAATCTCTTGACTTGTCTACGAGCCCTTAGACACAAAGGAGAAAATAGATATCAACATTCTAACATGGGAAAGAAAGAGAAGAAATTTGGATAAGTGAAGTTTTATTTTTGAAAAGATAAAAAATAGAGAAAAATGAATATGCACCGATAGTGTAAAATAATTTTACACTGTCAATCAATCACAATCATGTTAAATGTCAAGTCATAGTGTTATTTTTAAATAAATTATATGACATAATGACTAAATGATGAATTTTTATTGAAGGTCAGTGCACTACTTTTTAACTCTAAAACGTATAGATGGAGGAATTAGTTACATAACCTATTTATTAAAAAGATATTAGATCCTAACATACTTTAACATGTCATACATGTTAAATTGTAATTTTTTGCGTCGAAGCATGTTGCTCGACAGATACAAGAGGGTGTCGAATTAGCTTAGTATGCGTGTGTCAAATTGTCGAAGGAGTTGCCTCGACATAGGATTTTGACTTAGGCCTATTTTAGTAGTTTAACTGAATTAGACATTTTGAGATTTTGTAGTTTTGAGCTTTGACTTAGAGAGCAAGCTAACCTAAAACTATAAATAGAGAGAGTAACCCCTATTATTGTAACACATTGAGTATTCACGGAATTTGCAATTGCAAGTGAATAATAATTTTCCACAGTTTGTGGGCAGAGAGAAACTCTGCAGAAACGCTAATCTCTTTTCTTCTTTAATTTATTTTTCTCTTTTCATTGTCATTATGTGGTAATAACAATCTTGTTCATCAAGATTGATAAAAATTTATTATAATTTTTGGTGAATTTCCAACATCTAGTATCAAGAGCTTCAGTTGAGTGATTCAAAGCAAGCAAGAACGATGACAATGAATCATATGAATGGGAATTTTCCAGCAAGTCTTCCAATTCTTAAAGCCGATAACTATGAGAATTGGTGCAAGCAGATGAAAATTGTGTTTTGTTGTCAAGATATTTGGGATCTTGTGAAACTTGGATTAGAACCGCTTGAAGAAGACGCTTCAGAAAAACAAGAGGCAGAATACAAAGAATCAAAGAAGAATTATAAAGCTCTCTTTATAATTCATCAATGTCTAAGTCCAGACAATTTTGAAAAGGTTAGTGATGTAGAATCTGCAAAAGAAGCCTGGGTGATTCTTAAGAAATCTTTTGGAGGTGCAGAAAAGGTGAAAGAGGTGAGGTTACAAACTCACAAAAGAATGTATAAATTGTTTCAGATGGAAGATAGCGAGATCATATTTGATTTCTTCACCAGGGTTACGAATCTAGTGAATCAAATCAAGATTTGTGGAGAGACTTTAACAACATGAGCAGTTGTTTCAAAGATCTTGAGATCTTTGGCTCTAAAGTTCAACCACGTAGTGGTAGTCATAGAAGAGTCGAAGAATATGTTAACTTTGTCGAAGGAAGAGCTTCAAGGGACGCTTGAATCTCACGAACAAAGAATGGTTGAAAGAGCTGCAAGAAAATGGAAGAGTGATGTGGCTTTGCAGGCGCAGTCAACAAGAGACAAGAAAGGCAAACGGAAGTGGTTCGGTAATAAAGGTAAAGGTGGCTACAACAGTTCGACTCGCAGAGGAAACCAACACGAAGAAAATGTGTCGAATTAGAGAAGACCATACCAAGGAAACCAAAGAGGTGGTGGTCGAAAGCTTGATAAGAGTCACATTTAGTGTTACAATTGTCAGAAGTATGGTCACTATTCTAGTGATTGTCCAGAAAAGCGAAAAAATCAAGAAAGTGATGTTAAGTTTGCAAAGTATGAAGAAGAAGAGATGTTGTTGATGGTCACAACAAGAGATGAAGAAAAATTCAAGGATCAGTGGTACTTAGATTCAGGATGCTCATCACACATGTCTGGAAGGAAAGATTGATTTGTCAACATAAAACCCTCGATGAAGAACATGGTGAAATTAATAAATGACAATACCCTAGTAGCTAAAGGTATTGGGGATGTTATGATTACGAGGAAAGATGATAAGAGGTCAATAATTTCCAATGTGTTGTACATACCAGGCATGGAGAGCAATTTACTAAGTATAGGGTAGGTTGTCGAAAAGAAATATAAAGTGTCGATCAAAGACAACACGATGAAAGTCCTCGACATAAGAGGAAGGTTAATCTTGAAGGCTTCAATGTCTCAAAATAGAACCTCAAAGATCAAATTAAATGTGATGGAGCACAAGTGCCTTTCGATTGCAGCTAACAGGGATAAATGGATATGGCACCATTGACTAAGCCATCTCAACTTCAAAGACATTAGGGATTTGAAAAGAAGAAATATGGTTTCAGGGTTACCAGAAATCGATATTCCA